CTACATCAGTTATTGAATCCAGCATTCCTTTTAGGAAACTTTTGTTGTCATCCAATCTCTACAGAAAAGAAACTTTTAACTTCATAAATAAGTTTTAACGTAGTGGTTCTACATTTTCCCCATTTATTATATTTTACCATTTTTTTCAAAACTCGACTCCTCCTACAGTTTGAGATTTTAATATAACTTGGCACACAAGTATTCTACACAAAGATACGTAAAATAGTGCATCGGTTTTCGATTTCGATGAACGGTGTTACCATGGTTACTAAAATAGAATTTTCTGTGAAATTCCTTTAAAACACTATTCCTACAGTTTTGGTCTGATTTCAGCATAACTTCGCACACAAGTAGACTACACTAAGATACATTACAGTGCAGGGAACTAATTTTGTTACACAAACCAGCATCAGAATCAGCATAAGTAGGATCAGGATAGAACTAGCATCAGCATCAGCATTTAAAATACAGCATTACTTGGATCAGCATCAGCAAGCAAAGGATAGAACTAGCATTGACCAAAATGAAAACAGATAAAGAAAAGTCATTTAATTCAAATTACATTTAAAAATTGCCCCAAAAATTATTTTTAATGGCTTAAAATAGCGATGCTGTTTTTGAATTATCCACTTCCGGCAGGATAATCTTACTGTAGGTAGCATTACTAACATTGACCTATTTCAAACCAGCATCAGGATAAGGATCAAACCAGGATCAGGATAAGGATAACTAGCATCAAAATCAGCAAGCAAAGGAAGCATCAAAATCAGGAAGCATAGGAAGCATCAAAATCAGCATTGATGCTGTAACAAAATTATTTCCCTGCACTGTACAGGGTGCATCGGTTTTGATTTTGATGAATAGTGTTGAAATTGTCGACAAACTTCTGGTTTCCCGTTGAAAACTTTGATCCACCATTGTGGTCCCACCTTTTCTATGGGGGTTATGATTTGGACCCATTTTATTCTACATCACCTAAGCTTCCAAAGAAAGAGTCCAGCATTACAAAGTGATTCAATGGTCCGTGATGATTGATTGATTGATTTCATATTGTTTAACGCCAAGTCGGCAATATTTCAGCCATATTTTGGCGGGAAAGTATTAACCGGTTTTTGAAAGCTTTTGGTTTCTCTGGCGGCCCCCAATGAGCCTACTCTTTATCGAACTCCAGAGAAACGGTCTTTTGCGTGCAAAGGGGGTTGTTATCCTTGACACGGGGCACCATTTAATGTCCCATCCGACGGACTTCAAATTTAAAAATATGTAAACTGTTAAAAATAAAATCATCTAAATACATCCTATAAAACTACTCTAGTCATTTCTATATTTTATTGTAAAAATCAGTTTCATGCAAAAATTCCAAAATTGCATGTACATTGACATTTTTAAAAAGGTCATACATCGTTTTTGCGTTACCAAAAAGTCTACTTCGAATTGGCGAAAAGTCAGAACATTCTAATAAAATATGATTTACAGTAATCGGACAGTCACAGGATATACACTCCGGCTGAGACTCCCGATTGAGCAAGTATTCATGTGTAATTTTAGAGTGACCGATACGTATTCTTGATATAATTACTTCGTCTTGACGTTTCAGACCGAAGTAACATGATTTGTTAACTTTGTTTTCAATAGCATAAAGCTTACTTTCATCACAAAAATCCCAATAAATTTGCCAAATAGAATCGACATAAATTTTAACTAGGTATTTCAAATCGGTGTAAGGAATTTTAAATAAAGTAATTTCATGTTGAAGTGCTGTTTTTGCTGCATTGTCAGCCTTAATGTTTCCAGGGATGCCGATGTGGCTCGGAATCCAACAAAAATTAACTGTTTTACCCTGTTGAGCGAAATAATTATACTGTATCAATATATCTAAAATATAAGGGTGATCAAGATTCCTGTTTTTAATGGATTGTAAGCAGGAAAGAGAGTCCGAAAATATAGTAAATATGTTGTCACTGGAAGATTTTATGTATTCAAATGCAAGTTGTATGGCTTTAGCTTCCGCAGTGAATATTGTTGCTTCATTTGGAAGACGTGTTGAGAAAATATTATTATCAATTACTGCAGCTGACGCAACTGTATCCTTGTCTTTCGAACCATCTGTATAGATCTCGACTGTAGGGCCATTAGAATGTTTTATTTCGGCTAATTTCTGTTTTAAAATAAGAGAATTTGTTTCTGATTTCTTAAATTAAGTTAAAGATATATCAACACTTGGTTTTATTAATTTCCAGGGCGGTATTTCAGAAAAATTTGAGGGTTTTATAATATCCAAAGGAAGGTCAGAGTCTCTTATATGCTTTTTACATCGTAGGCCAAGTGGTTTTATACACGTTTTTCTTTTATGATACAAGTCGTCATTTTGCGGATAAAAAACACAGTTATAAGCAGGATTATTAACATTTGCTTTTAATTTCTGAATATATTGTAGGGAAAGTTTAATTCTACGTAAGTCGAGGGGTGGTTCATTTGCCTCGACATATAAACTGTCTTTAGGAGAAGTTCGAAAAGCTCCCAAGCAAAGTCTTAGGCCTTGGAGGTGAATTGCATCAAGAGCTTTAACGTAAGAAGTTCTTGCCGAGCCATACACAATACAACCATAATCTAACTTGGATCTTACTAAAGAACGATATAGTTTTAAAAGAGTATTTTTATCTGCCTCCCATTTTGTTTTTGCAATTACTTTAATAACATCTAAAGCCTTCGTGCATTTTTCTTTTAGCATTTTTATATGTGATACAAAAGAAAGTTTACTATCAAAAATGTTACCTAAAAACTTTATTTCTTTTACAACCTTAATTGGATTTCCATCGAGCAGCAGACGTGGTTCGTCATGCGCTTTCCGTTTGGAACAAAAATGAACACATGCGGTTTTGCTTTTTGAAAATTTAAATCCATTTACATCAGCCCAATTTTGAATTTTATTTAGACAACTCTGCAATTTTCGTTCAATATAGTTCATATTTTTGGATTTAAAACAAAGTACAAAATCATCAACATATAAACTTCCATGCATATCATTTTCAAGAACTTCTGCTAAGTTGTTGATTTTTATACTGAATAGATTTACTGATAGAATACTACCTTGTGGTACACCCATTTCCTGTTCAAAACTTTCTGAATATGTAGACCCTAAGCGTACTTTAAACTGTCTATCATTCAAGAAATTCTTGATAAAATTAGGTAAATGTCCTTTAAGACCCATAGTGTAGAGATCTTCTAAAATGCCATGTCTCCATGTAGTATCATATGCTTTTTCTAAATCAAAAAACACAGATATAACATGCTCTTTTTTAATAAAAGCATCTCGAATATAGGTTTCCAGTCTCACCAACTGGTCAATAGTACTGCGGTTTTTCCTAAAACCACATTGAATATTAGTTAAAATGTTATTAGTTTCAAGAAACCATATAAGACGTTCATTTATCATCCTTTCCATGGTTTTACACAAACAACTTGTTAACGCAATAGGACGGTAATTATTTGGATCTGTGTGATCCTTACCAGGCTTTGGGATGGGAATTACTGTAGCTTCGGTCCAGGAAGGTGGAAAATGACCCTGCTCCCAAATTTTATTAAAAATTTTCAAAAGACATTCTTTACTCCTTAAAGGAAGGTGTTTAATTATTTGATAATGGATTTCATCCGGTCCTACTGCTGTGTCATGGGATTTATCTAAAGATTTCTGAAGTTCATCTAAAGTAAATGGGTGATTGTAACATTCATCGTTTTGAGATGTAAAATCTAATATTTTCTTTTCTTGTGATTTTTTATGTTTACTAAACTTTGGGGTGATATTTTTGTTGGAGGAATTTTTTAGAAATTGTATTACCTATTTCATTTGATATCTCTTTTTTTATCCGTAATAATTTTATTTCGAACATTAAGATGTTGATATTTTTCAGGACCTTTACCTTTAATTTTTCTAATTGCATTCCAGACCTTATTAATAGGAGTATGAGAATAAAGGCTAGAAATGAATCTTTTCCAAGATTTTCGTTTATTAAAGTTAATAGTTCTGCGAGCTTTTGCTCTAAATATACGAAAATTGCTTAAATTTGCTGATGTTGGTATTCGATTAAATTGTCTCTCTGCTTTTTTGCGAGCTTTAATAGCATCATTGCATTCTTCTGTAAACCATGGTTTTTTAGTTTTAGAGGACTTTGTCGAGGTTTTAGGTATACTTTTATTTGCATTAGTTAATAGGATTTCAGTAAATTTTTTGATAGGATCAGGATTGTTCTCGAATTTTTCGGACGAAATATTTTGTAAGCATAAGTTTTCAAAGTGTATCCAATCAGCCTTGTTTAGCTTCCAGTTTTGAATAGAAATATTTTCAAATGATTCATCTAGTTTAATGATAATTGGGAAGTGATCACTTCCACATAAATCGTCATGTACTGACCAACTAAAATCCAAGAGTAAAGAAGGGTCTACTAAAGTAATATCTATTGAAGAATATGAACCATTACCCGGATGCAGATAGGTGCTAGAGCCGTCATTTAGTATACAAAGATTATGATGTGATATTGCATCCTCAATTATCTTTCCTTTATCTGTTATTTTATCGCTGCCCCATAATGGATTATGGGCATTAAAGTCACCCACAACCATAAATGGAGCTGGAAGTTGTTGTATTAACTTTGTAAATTCTAAAGCTTGTTAATGATAGTTTGGAGGAACATATACAGAACAAAGAGTTATTGTTTTTTTAAGTGAAAGGCGTACAGCTACTGCCTGAAGATTTGTTTTTAAATCTAGTTGGCTATGAATATATTTATTATTAATTGCTAAAGAAGAACCACCAGACGCTCTTTCAGTTTGAGCATAGTAGTTATACATACTGTAATTTTTAATATTAATTTTATCTGTTTCTTTTAAATATGTTTCTTGTAAACATATAGCTACTGGGTTATGGTCCTGAATAAGTAATGATAATTCATTAAAGTTGACTTTAAAACCTCGACAATTCCATTGTATAATAGTAGGATGATTCATTTTTTATGAGTAATGGGAGATATCCTCCCTTTACTTTTGGGGGGTGACGCACTTCGGACTCGCGAGGAGGATTGGCATGGTGTTACATCCATCTCCTCGAAGACCCCAAATTTATTGTGGAGAGTGACGGCCGCTTTAGGTAACCGATCACTCTCCTGTTTTGAGTTGTTTTTGGACGGAGATCTGTTTTTTCTCCCCGATGTTAGTTTGCTCCAGGCTGCTGGCTTTGATGAAGACACAGCCACGGTTTTTGGAGCAACAGGAGCTGTAGGACCTGCAGAAGCAGGCATTGAAGTGTTTTTACCCTTGTCTTGAGATGACAGGGGCGTTTGGCATGATGAAGTCTTCTGAGGAAAGTCTTTCTCAGAGACTTGTGTAGACATGTCCTTCAAAGAGGACGATTTAACAACAGTTGCATATGATGTCAGATTCGGTCTTGGGACACTGTACATGTTTACCAGTTTTTTGGCTTCTGGATAAGGAATACGTTTTTCGGCTTTAACCTTTTGAATTTCTTTTTCCTTTTTCCACATTGGGCATTGTTTTGAGGAAGCCATGTGCCCGCCCTTGCAGTTTTTGCATTTGGGGTCATTATGGCAATCTTTACAATCATGCCCCTCCTCACCACACCTGAAGCAGGATTCAGAGCCTTTACAATTGGATTGTCCATGTCCAAACCTCTGGCACTTAAAGCAACGCAGAGGATTTGGAACGAACATTTCAACTTTCATATGATAAAGTCCAACTTTAATACTTGTTGGTAATGTTGGTATACCAAAAGTCAAAAGGTACGTATTTGTCGGTTCTATGTTATCATTCCGCTTTTTTGTAAACCTTTTCACAAAGACCACTCCCTGGGATTCCAACTCGGATTGGATTTCCTGCTCAGGAATGTCATCCAGGTCGTGATCTCTGTCGAAAAGGATACCTTTGCTTTGATTTAATCCACTGTGGATTTTACCAACAACAGGAATATCGGCAAGCATTTTCAAACTTAGTAAAGAAGTTGACTGCTGTTTTTTGGTAACTTCAATAAGTAGAGCTCCAGATCTCAACTTTTTAACAGATTTAGGAGTACCAATGATTCCTTGAATACCTTTTTGAATGATAAATGGTGATATCTTTGTTAAAGGCTTCGTTTGTTGTTCTGATAATTGTGCTTCAAGTGTGATGAAGCGGGGCCAGTGTTCCACAACCGAATTCAGTTGTTCATCATTAAATGTAATATCAAAACCTGATGGGTAGCAACGTTTTTTTGAGAGAGCCATGATTATAGAGGAAAAGATTCAGAATCCTTGCTCCCCGCCCGCCTCGGAGCGCCAACAAGGGCGATATCCAGTCAAACGGTCATCCAGTAAGACCGATACCAAGAGGATACAAAGATATGCCTGATTGACCCTTAGCCACCGCTTAATGTATAAATATCAACATGGAAACGTCGGCGTATCGGAAATTGCAAAACAGGAAAACGGATAGTGAAAAAAGCAACACATCAATACTATGGCATGTAGATATAATCAGCTCGGCATGACTAGCCGATTGATCAAGTCGGGCCAAACTTGACCTCCCGTCTAACTGAATATGGGGCCAAAGTGGAGTGTTGGTCGAACAGGTGCATTACACCCAGCACCTGCAGACCTCAGCCACCAGGATCCCCTTCTCCACCAACACGGGTCGCAACCCACGGCCAACAGGTTGCCCCATTTAGTCGCCTCATACGACATGCAAGGGGGTGCCAGGGACCTATTCTTATCACCCGGGCCCCTACGGGGGGGGGGGGGGGGGGGGGGTCCGTGATGAAAAAAAGGTCATATTTGCTTCAATTCGTCAATTCAATCAAATGTCATAATTTTAATTTCTGAAACCTGAGAGAGAAACCAGAAGTCTCTGTCGAGACTGTAGCTCTACTGGTTTATACTAAAACAAAAGAAGTGAAAAGTAGCAGTTGGGACTTATGACTTTAAATCAGCAATGAATAGAAAAATGATCCTTGCCACTCATCAAAATAAAATCCGATGCACAGAATTATGTATCTTAGTGTAATCTACTTGTGTGCTAAGTTATATTGAAATCGAACCAAAACTGTAGTAGGGGTAGCATTTTGAAACAATTTCACAAAAATTTCTATTTTTAGCAACCACGGCAACACTGTTCATCGAAATCAAAAACCTATAAACAGAATTATGTATCTTAGTGTAATCTACTTGTGTGCCAAGTTATATTGAAATCGAACCAAAACTGTAGTAGGGGTAGCATTTTGAAACAATTTCACAAAAATTTCTATTTTTAGTAACCTCGGCAACACTGTTCATTGACATCAAAATCCAATGCACAGAATTATGTATCTTAGTGATGTCTACTTGTGTGCCAAGTTATATTGAAATCAAACCAAAACTGTAGGAGGAGTAGCATTTTGAAACAATTTCACAAAAATTTCTATTTTTAGTAACCATGGCAACACTATTCATCGATATCAAAAACCAATGCAGAGAATTATGTATCTTAGTGTAGTCTACTTGTGTGCCAAGTTATATTGAAATCGAACCAAAACTGTAGGAGAAGTAGCATTTTGAAACAATTTCACAAAAATTTCTATTTTTAGTAACCTCCGCAACACTGTTCATCGACATCAAAAACCAATGCACAGAATTATGTATCTTAGTGTAGTCTACTTGTGTGCCAAGTTATATTGAAATCAAACCAAAACTGTAGGAGGAGTAGCATTTTGAAACAATTTCACAAAAATTTCTATTTTTAGTAACCATGGCAACACTATTCATCGATATCAAAAACCAATGCACAGAATTATGTATCTTAGTGTAGTCTACTTGTGTGCCAAGTTATATTGAAATCGAACCAAAACTGTAGTAGGGGTAGCATTTTGAAACACAAAAAATTCTATTTTTAGTAACGTCAGTGACACCGTTCATCGAAATCAAAATCCGATGCACAGAATTGTGTATCTTAGTGTAGTCTACTTGTGTGCAAAGTTATATTGAAATCAGACTTAAACTGTAGGAGGAGTAGCATTTTGAAAAATTGTTTACAGACAGACAGACGGACAGACAGACGGACGGACGACGGACGCATTACTATCGCATAAGCTCTTCTGGTCTCTGACCAGTAGAGCTAAAAACCTTGATATACAGAACCACCCCCCCCCCCCTCCAATACACTTCCTCCTTGAGTACAACCACCACGAGCAAGGGTAAATGCTCAAATACAGTGTAGAGTAGACATTTCTTCATATCTGCCATCCAAAAAGGTAGTATTAGAAAGAAGGGTTTGCTGCGAAACACTGGGAGTAGATATTGCACCATGGATGGATATGGAAATAACGAACAGTAATTCAATCTCAACGTCCATTGAACAAATATACAAAATAAGAGCAGAACAAACACGGACCTCCGAAATATCAGAGGAAAGACAGAGCTCCAGATAAGGTGCGTATTTGCAGAAATACGCATTAATTTTAAAAAATACGCATTGAAAATTTAAATAGATTTGCTTTTTTTCTAATTTTCAACAGTGCCTCCACCTGTGATAGATGAAGAACTAATGAACTTTTTAGAGGAGAAAACAAGGGGACAGAGAATTTGTGAAATGTTGAGAGCTCTCCACCTTGGCAGAATAACAAGTTCTATGTTTGGTGATGTGCTTCTAGCAAGAGAAACCCCAGCAAAATCTCTCGTCAATCATATCATACATGGATCAAATCTTGAGAAGTAATTTTCCTTTTAAAACAATATTATTTATGTTATTTGAGATCATTTAATTATGGTAGGTGGAGTTATTTCCCTTTTTGTATATAAAAATATGAAGCAACATGTTATGTCTTTTTAGACAATGGGTTCGGACACAGTCAAAACACGTGTGCTCAACAGCAGGTTGCCATTTTGGAACTATTTTATTGTATCATTACGCAACTGTTACAGTATTACATAACACAGAACCAACAAAAGATTATATAATTCCGGATAACAATATCAGCTTAACCAAATCATAACATTCCTCCCCACTAAATTTTGACTTCCACAAGAATTAAAATCAGAACTTAAATTGAATGAAATTTTGGGCAATATACACATTTCAAATATTAAACTTCACAGACATGTTTTACCAGGCCAATACATTCAATACAATACAGTATACAAAGTGAAAATGACCTCTTGGTCAACACAAAGGCACGGGGATTATTGTGCCCCAATACTGTGCCATAATACACAAAACAAAATGCACAATTCATTTGAAAGTAACATAGTCACTGAAACGTTTGGGCGGTCCAACATTTCGTCTTGGATTTTGTCTGGCTAGTATGGTAGGCTCGGTCCTAACTTCTGGCTGAGATTTCTGTTCCTGGATAGGACTATTAGCTTTCTTCCTGTTGAAGACCTCTGGAGTTGACTGCCTGACTTTCGTACCTTGCGGAAAGACTTCTGGACTAGACTGCTTAGCACTAACTGTAGGAATTGGTACATGTACCTGTGGCACAAACTTCTCAAGATCACTGGGTACAACTTCCTGATTCTTTAGTGAAGAATCATATATCTGATCTACGTGTCTTCTCCAAGTATTGTCCCCAACTTGCACTCTGTAAGAAACAGGTCCTGTCTGCTCTTGAACGGTTCCTGGTACCCAGTCCGACTTTGAACTGTGACGGTAGTCCCTAACAATTACACTGTGCCCAGGTTCAAACACACGCAATGAACTTGATCTCTTAGATGCGATGTGAAACTGTTTGTTTTTAACATTTTGTTCAATGTCTGGTTTTATCAAATCTAGTCGTGACTGCAATGAACGACCAATGAATAGCTTTGCAGGTGACTCTCCAGTAGTTGAATGTGCTGCGTTGCGATAGGCTAGTAAAAAGTTAGATAACTTCGTTTCCACAGAACCTCCATCCTTCTTGCTTGACTTCATTGCGGACTTGAACGATTGTACAAAACGTTCCGCTAATCCATTTGAGCTAGGATGATATGGAGCAGAAGTCACATGCTTTATTCCATTGGTACGAATGAAGTTTCCAAACTCGTCTGACGTAAACTGAGGTCCGTTATCACTGACCAACACCGTAGGAACACCATTCCTAGCAAAGATACTTCTCAAGACCTCAATAGTCTTGTGGGATGTCGTCTCGCGCATCATTATGACCTCAGGCCATTTAGAATGTGCATCTACTGCTACCAGGAACATCCAGTTCATAAAAGGCCCAGCGAAGTCTATATGGATACGTTCCCAAGGTTTAGTGGGCCACTCCCACGGATGAATGGGGGCTGCTGGAGGTGCACGCTTGAACTCCTGACATCCTGAGCATGCTTTCGTGATCCTCTCTATATCAAGATCGATCCCGGGCCACCATACCACACTTCGAGCTAATGCCTTCATCTTCACTACTCCAATGTGACCTAAATGAAGCTCCTTAAGTATGTGATCCCTAAGCTTTGTTGGAACAACAACTCTCATTCCCCACAACAAACATCCATTGTGAATGGTTAACTCGTCCTTACGCGTAAAGTAGCGATACAACTCCTTATCATCTGCTTTGACCGAAAAGTTCCATCCATTCATGGTATAACCATATACCTTCACAGTGACAGGATCACGTCCAGTTTCCTGTCTAATACGGTCACTGGTGATTGGTAATGTTTCAAATTGTGGTAGGTACATCAAGTCAATATCTTGATAATCATCATCAGATTCACAGTCAGACAGTGGTAGCCTCGATAAGCTATCTGCATTTCCATGCGCTTTGGTGTTTTTGTACATAATGTCATAATCATACCCTGATAAAAACAGAGCATATCTCTGCATGCGTGCTGCTGTTGTAACTGATACACCTTTGCTGGGGCTGAAGATGGACACAAGAGGGCGATGATCCGTCAATAAAGAGAAGTGTCTTCCATAGAGGTATGTGTGAAAACGTTTCACACCCCATACTATCCCCAGAGCCTCACGATCTATCTGTGAATAGTTCCGCTCTGCTGACGACAATGATCGAGATGCATATGCTATCGGTCGTTCTGATCCGTCATCCATGACATGGGATAATACACACCCTAAACCATAAGGTGAAGCATCACATGCTAATCGCACCTCTCGCTGTGGGTCGTAATGAGTCAAAATCTCATCAGAGGTAATAAGCTGTTTGACTTCAGAAAATGCCTTGTCACATTCGCTAGACCAGGACCACTTTCGGCTCTTTGACAGTAAATGGTGTAGCGGGTACAAAAGACTTGAAAGGTTAGGCAAAAATCTGGCATAATAGTTA